AGATTAAGATCTGATAATGGAAAAGAGTTTTTTCTCACTAATTTTTACAATTCTAAAGGTATTCTACATGAGACCACTTGTATAGAAACACCTCAACAAAATGGAATTATTGAGAGAAAGCATCAACATCTTTTAAATGTGTGTAGATCGTTACTATTTCAATCCAAAATCCCTAACATTTTCTGGTCTTTTGCTATGAAGCATGTTGTACATCTCATCAATAGATTGCCTACACCGTTTTTAAAACTAAAATCTCCTTATGAAATGGTTTTTAATATGAAACCTAACCTTTTCATTCTAAAAGTCTTTGGTTGCCTTGCTTTTGCTTCAACCCTTACTACCGGAAGAACAAAATTAGCTCCTCGGGCATCAAAGTGAATTTTTCTTGGTTACAAAACTGGTACCAAAGGATATGTACTTTTTAATCTGTCTTCAAAATCTATTTTAGTTTCTAGGAATGTAGTTTTTCATGAAACTATTTTTCCTTATGTTTTTGTTTCTAAAAAGGATATTAGTTTTGATACCACAATGAATTCTAATGACACTAATCTAACACAATATGAATTATATCCTAATATTGACTCATCTGTCTTAGAATCTCCTCTTGAGGTACCTCAATCAATTTCAGTAGATGCAGATTCTGAAAATCCTGTTGCAAAAACGGTTTCTTTAAGGACAAAGACTAGACCTGGGTATTTGGATCAATATCATTGTTATACTCATGATTCTTATGACACTACTTGCAACATCTCTTATCCTATCTAATTTATACCATCCATGGTTTAGTAACTGGAATTAGGAGGGAGTATATAGTGCATTCAATATATTTTAATGAAAGATAATCTAAGGAGGTTTTTGAGTTCAATAAGAGGTGTATTTACTTTTATTTGAATGCACCCCATAAGTACCCATATCTAACGCTGTTTACCCTCTCCGTTGGTCAGAATGGCCAAACGCTAATGTCGGTTTCTTTACATTTATATATGTCATATGCTAATTGTTCTTTTGACCACATCTCTTTTTGTCATTCTATTTCTGCACATATTGAGCCTTCTAATTTCAAACAAGCAAGTCAACATGATTGTTGGAGGCAGGCTATGATGATTGAACTTCAGGCTTTAAAGTGAAACCAAACTTGGACTTTGATGAAGCTTCCTCCAGGAAAGCACACTATTGGATGCAAATGGGTTTATAGGATCAAACATAAGGCAAATGGCTCCATAGAGAGATACAAGGCTCGCTTGGTTGCTACGGGCTTTACACAACAAGAAGGGGTTGATTATTTTGAAACCTTTTCCCCTGTAGCCAAGTTCATTATAGTGAGATTTCTTCTTGCCTTAGCATCGACACAAAACTGGTTTCTGCATCAATTAGATGTAGATAATGCCTTTCTAGATGGTGATTTGGAGGAAGAATTATACATGCAATCTCCTCAAGGTTTACACTTACCACAACCTAATATTGTTTGCAAATTGCAGAAATCTCTCTATGGATTAAAGCAGGCCAGTAGAAATTGGAATCAAAAACTTACTTCATAATTTCTATTCATGAATTATAAACAAAGTTCTGTTGACCATTCCTTATTCATCAAAATTCAAGGATCTTCTATAACTATTCTTTTAGTGTATGTTGATGATATAGTTCTAAGTGGAAACAATTTTTCAGAAATCACTAAGGTTAAACAACATTTGCACAAGCAATTTCATATCAAGGATCTTGGACCTTTGAATTTTTTTTTTTGGCTTGGAGGTTGCTCGTTCCAAAAGAGGATTGGTTCTTAATCAACGAAAATATTGTTTAGAATTAATTGATGAAGTTGGCCTTCTTGGCTGCAAACTTGTTTCTACTCCAGCAGATCCCGCTACTAAACTTCATGCAGATCATGGAACCCCTTTAGAAGATCCTTCTTCCTTTAGAAGACTTATTAGTAAACTGATTTATCTTACAAACACTAGTCTAGATATTAGTTTTTCAGTTCAACATTTAAGTCAATTTGTTGCTTTTCCAAGAGAACCACATATGCAATCTGCCATGCGAATCATTAGATATTTGAAGAGTGCACCAGGCACTGGTGTATTCTATCCTGCCTCTAATTCCCTTCGAATTTAAGCCTTTTCTGACTTAGATTGGGCTACATGTACAACCACTCGCATATCAATAACTAGTTATTGGCGTTTTTCTAGGAAAAGCTCTCATTTCTTGGAAGTCTAGGAAGTCTACTATTTCCAGATTATCTTCAGAGACAGAATATCGTGCCTTAGCCTCTGTTACATGTGAATATGGTTAAAGTATCTTTGCAGTGATCTTCATTTGAGAATCCCTACACCTTTTACCACATTTTCTGATAGTGAATCTGCCATCCAGATAGCTAAGAACCCAACATTTCATGAGCGAACCAAACACATTGAAGTTGATTGTCATTTCATCCGTATCAAGTTTCAAGAAGGATTACTACACTTAATTCATGTTTCCTCTGCAAATCAGCTTGCTGATGCATTAACTAAATCACTCTATCCCAAACCATTTCAACATGTTATCTCCAAGTTTAACATCATTAACATTCATCGCCCACCTTGAAAAGGGGTATTAGGCATAAAATAATTATATCTTTTCTTTTTCCTATAACTGAATTCTTTAAGTTAGTTACAGAATAATTTTTGTTTAAGTTACAATAAGAGTTTGTTTAGATTTTATTTCTATTTCAACAACTTCAATATTTTGTATATATACTTTTTTGTAGTTCCCTTTCCAGGGTGTGTGAATTGATCAATGGAAAGAAATATTTTCTTCTAATCACTATTAGTCCTTTAACCTTTTATGTATTGTTCATCATAAGTTACTCATAATAATTTATAGTACTATTATATAAAAAAATAACTCAGTGTAGTTTGTTTAACTAAATAATCCTACAACATAATAAATAAAAAATATATTAGATCTTTTTCTTTTTTATAACTCATTTAACATAATAAATACATCAAAATTAAAATTCTAGAGTTATTTATTGAATTTCATATATTAATATATTTAATTTAAATTAAAAATATCCAATGAAAAGTTGTTTACGTCATATCTATATGTTAATGAAAAATGTTGGTTCTCAAGATATCATGCTTTCAAATTCAATAAAAAATAGAGATATTTTATATCTTAACTTTTTGTAAATATATATCCATTTTATTTTATTCATCCAATTTTTTATATTAAATTTTATCCTTTCAAAATTGTTACTAATCTATTATTGACGATCTCAGTGCATCAAAATTTTGTAATTATTTGGAAATCACACGTGATCAGTGACATCATTATTAAGTATGAAATACTATTTTAAAATACATATCAAAATTTAATAATGACAAGCAAAATGTAATTTATTAAATATTTTTTTTAACGATTAAACGGACGCCAACCAAGAAAAAGACAATGAGTTATTTTTAGAACAAAACAACAATGAGTTAATCATAAGTTTATGGATAAAAAAATTAATCATTGTTTTCAAAAGAAAAAAAAAATTAATCATATGAAAGAATGCAATCTCGATAGAATGATTCCTGTGGAGATCATCTATGGCGGATCTTGGTAGTGACAAGGTAGACACGATTTTCTTAAACTTTTTTAAATCTTTTCATTTTATTTTATTTTTATTTTATATATATTCATATATATATATATATATATTAATATTATATTTATATATTATTATATCATTAATTATAATAAAACTAAAAAAATTAAATTAGAAAAAGAAAAATTCTATTATTTTTTTAACTAATAAAAAATTTAATTTATAATTCTATAAATATATATATATATAAATAATCTAGCACTCCTAAAATATTTTTTCAAGTTTCCCCACTGAAAACCATATAAATATTTATAAATTGTATCTTAGAAACTACTTCAATAAATATTACTCCCTTTATATTATCTTAAATAACCAAATTTAAATGAAATCATATTTTTTTTTTCATATTTACATAAATTAAACACATTTTATTTTAATTTTAATTTTCCTACCAACTAAAAAAGCTTCTAGTTTTACATCACTTCTAAAAAAAATAAAATAAAAACACTTTAAAAAATACAACTTGAATTAAACATATTTAACCAAGTCAGAGAAAAGTATTTTTATCTTAATTTAAATTTTTTGTAACATTTTTTTTCTTCATAAATATAATTTATGAAATATCTCAAAATTAATAATTAAAAATTAATTTATATATATTTTTTGATTAAATAATTTATATTTTTAGAATATAACTTCTACTTTATAAACATTATTTTATTTTAATTTTAATATAGATACAAATGAATCCAATCACTCTGGAAATAGATCCCCTGACTTTGGAGGGGAAAGTTAGGGTAACTTTACACATTTAAACCATTGGATTTGTAATAGTAGATCAGATTGTGACACGTGTACATTTAAGTTAAAATATATTTTGTACACGTGTCACAATCTGATCTATTATTACAAATCCAACGATTGAGATGTGTTAAGTTACCATAACTTTGATATCTCAAAGTCAGAGATCCGGATCCCTAAATTACCCTCTCCAATGTCAGAGAAATCAGCTGAAAAGTAAAAACAATCATTAACAAAATTATATTACTAATTAATTATTAATTATTAATTAATGATTACAGTTTACCCTTTAAATTACGCTATAGTAACGTAGCTAAGTAAGAGATTCGATTCTGAAAATTTGATTACATATATCCTTTCAAAGAACATTCTCATTTAATACTACACGGGAAGAGAAAAAAAAAAAAAAAATCATTCATTCATGTTCATCACTCTCATCTCTCACCTTACCCACTCGCCACTTCCTTCAACACAGGTACGAGTCCCACGTGTCAGCACGCGGAAGCGAGTACTCCCCACGCCCAAACGCAGAGCGCGTGGAGATAGGAATAGCGTGCGTGCATCGCATTCCATTCCACCGTTCCCTCCCTCGCTCCCCCCTTCGTTAGTTCAAATTTCAAAATCGACTCCGCACTCGCACCTCACTCTTCACTTCTCTCACACTCTCTCTCTCTCACAAAAAAAGAAAAATAAATTAAAATAAAAAAGTAACGTTGCCTTACCTGAGTGACCCGAGCCTTGTCCTCTTCAATGACACGCTCTGGGTAGTGGCTAGTGGCTAGGTTCGTTCTCCGATCCTCCTCCCGAACCACCATGGGTTGCTTCTTTGCTTGTTTCAGAGCGCGCGACTCCGCCACCGCCACTGCCACCGCTACAGTACCAGCTTCTCGTTCTGCCAAACCTAACGTAACTAACAACTATTCGTAACCGTTTATTTATTTATTTTATATCGAATTTCTTATTCGATTTGTGAGGGTTTTGTGTAATTTTAATTTTTGTGCGTTTTTTTTTTGCTTCGCCATGTGAGGGTTTTGGTTTTGTTGTGTAAACCAGGATGTTGCGGTCTCTCGAAACCGTTTGTCTACTTTGTTTCTGTCCGAAGGTAAGTTTTTTTTTTTTTTTTTTGGTTATATTTTTTTAAGTGGATTCTGAGCGTGTTTACTGATTCCGTGGTTTGAATTTTGAAAGAGAGAGAAGACTCTGTTGTGCGTGATGGCGGGAAGGGTTTTGAAGTGGGATCTCAAAAAGGTGGCACTGAGGTGTGTTTATTTTTATTTTTTTTGTTGTTGTTAATGTTGATAAAGTAGCAATTGTTTGATGTGTGGTTCTGAATATTCGCGTTTCGTTTGTTGTTTTTGGAATTTGGGATTATCTGGTTGTTGCTTTTTTGTTTGTGTTGGGTTGGGTCGTTTTGTTCCTGTTTGAGAGGGAAAAGGAAGATGTTTTATTTTGTTTCGTTTGAGAACTGTAGTATGCACTATTTGTGATTGTGATTTTTATGGAACTTTATATGCAATTTCATGGATGGAGTGAAATGAAAACAAGATGAAGGGAGCACGTAAAAGTAATTTGCCAGAAAAGGCTAATATACTATGGAATTATAAACAAACAGTCTCAACAAGTTGAGAATGATCAGAGTTGGGATCCGAAGTTGGCTTCTTTTGGTTTTGTCCAATAGTAATGGAGTTGAGAGGAACATTAACACAAGGATTCATTTTATCTCAACTGGATCCTAACTTCTTGTCATTTTTCATTGTTTATGCTACGTCTTTTCTTTTATGTGGCTTTAATATGGATGATGGGATTGTTGATGTCACATCAGTGAACTGGATGAATTCTGTTGTTTTAGTTTAAAGTGAAGTGAGATTTAAAAATTGATGTCAGTCTAGTTATGTTTATGGTAGACAGTAGCAGCTATAACTTGTGGAATAGCCTGAAATGCTTTGACTTAGTTCATTTGGTGACCAAGGTTATTGTCAATCTTCCACTTGCAATGGCACTCCAGCAGCGTGGTGTTGCATTGTGTATTTCTACCTCTAGATTCCGACAGCAGGGTGACTTGTAGGTAACCTAACCATACTGAGAAGCAGCATGTCACAATATTTGTGATGAAGGTGGCAATTTTCTGATGATGATGTCACAACATTGTTATGTTTAGTTGCACGATAAATTCCTTATATGTCATGTATGAATCATATATCTAGCTGGCCCCTTCATCATATAATTTCTGATATCAGTTTTAAGCACAAATCATTTTAATATTAATAACTGGATCATTCAAGGTGACCGATGCCTTGCTGGTGCAAAAATTATTCTTGATAATTTGTTTCTGAATTCGTAAAAGTTAAATTCTGTTTGTCATGTGTGTTTTCATTATGCAAAGTTTTTCAAAGACACTTTTTGAAGTTTTAAGTCATTTTTGTATTTTGTTAAGTTGTTGATTCGTAATTTAGAAGGGTGCATATTAATATTTGTTTTTTAAATTGAATTTGTTTATATGATTATTTAAACTTGATCTGCAGGCCAAGTTTCTCAAAGCTGACGTTAACTTGGCAACAACCTGTCCTGAGAAAGTTGACCTTGATGGTCAACCTTTCGATCCCTCAACTCCTGTAAAACATTGTGAGGAAGGGGGGAAGAGAACTGACTCTTTAGAGCACACACCAAGCAGGTTATTCATCTCTATGTTGAATCTTTCTCTTGCTGATATTCTGTTCCTTTTAGAACAACAGGACTTTCAATGAGTTCAAATATATTGTGTTCATGCCTAATCCATTTCTCAAAATTACATAGTTCCTTGTTATAAGTTAGTTTTTTTCATTTGCAGCTGTATCTCCAATGCGCAAAGTACTCTTGATTCTACAGAAGGAATTAGGACTGGAAGTCTTCACAGTTTGGATATTAATGACAAGCATACGGCTTCTGTTTCACCTTGGCCATCTACCACATACACCAAGAGGACGAACAAGTCTGTACGTTTTGAATGTGACACTGATTTATCATCCTGTAGCTCGTCTGATTATGGTGGACGATATCTGAAGAAAGCCGATTCACCAAATGAAAGTGCATATAAACCATCACCTTATCCTACCCCAATGAAGCTATCTGAGGAGATGCAAACTCCAGGAACTGTTTACCCTGCAACAAAAGAATACTTACCAAATGGTAAGCCTCGAGTTAAGTCCCAGTTTGTGTATCCAATTAACAACACTGGTGATGACGTCTCTCAAAAGATACTTGAGGAGGAAGATCATATCCGTGAACAAGATTCAAGGAAGCTGAGTGAATCAGTCGAGTGGTCTCAAATTGCGACTTCAACACCTGAAAAAGGGTTAAAGAAAATATCTTATGAAAATGAATGTAAGGTGGAGGAAAGCTTATCTTCCTGGTTGAAGCCTGCAGCTGTGATTCTGGAGGAGAGAAACAAGAGAATGGAGATTGCTTATAATCAGTTTCGCAAAACACCTGCTGATAGGCCTATCATTGGGATGGTTGCAGCACACTGGAACGAGGATGAGGATTCCCAAGTTCCTCCTCCTAAATGGTGGGATGGCAATGGCATACCAAATTCAACCAATAAGTATAAAGAAGTATGGGTTGTAAAAATTATTTCCTTTCTGAAAGAGTTTTGAATGTATTTATTGCATTTGCATCTAACTTTTGCTGATTGTTTTTCAGGATCAGAAAGTGAACTGGCATGCAACGCCATTTGAAGAGAGGTTGGAAAAGGCATTATCTGAGGAGAGTGTTATCTCTCAAAGGTATGTTATGCATGGACTATATTGCTTTTTGCGCTAACTACATTCACTTGTAAAAAATAAATGTGATAAATAAAACAGTCAGTGTCATGCATTTTTTCTCAAATATTATTGAATGATAACTTGCTAAGTCCCTCCGTATCATCGAGTTACTGAGTTCAGCATGAGGTTATGGGGATATAAAGGAATTACTAATTGTCATGGAACACCCATTTGTGTGAACAATTTATTGTTTTACCATTGCCAACCAGCATGTTTCTTTTCTTTAGTTAGTAGTAACTTCCAATTTTTTATTTGTTTTGATTCACAGGAAGGATGTATGTGGAAAATCAATTCCTTTTGGTGAGAACGAAGAAAGTGACACTGCATTGTCTCAACTGCAATCTTCAACTCATCCACAGTCCGTGGTGTCATTCTGATATGTCTATTGTCGATGTTCTTTTGTCTGGTATTTTGGCATTTGTGGAAACTAAGTCTGAATCCACCTCATTCAACATGCTGGTTGGTTGGAACAGAGAATTGGTTATTCAAATTTTGTGGTAATGTAGAGCTATCAAGCTGTGTGCCACACCGCTTGTATTGTATATAAGTGATGAAAATTTTTGCATTAAATAATGGGTATTGGGAGTTTGGTGATGATATTTTTATTTTGTTAAAAATTTGAAGGAGTTCTATATTTGAGGCTTACATGAAAAAAGAGCTTGTGGATCTGAATCCCTGTACTGTGGATCATGCTAGTATTCACAATAAATGTTAAAAATTTAGATAGTCTTAAAACACTTGATTGTATAAAATAAAAAAGAAAACTAATCAAAAGGATAACCAAATAATTCAAAATTATCGAGGATTAATGAACAATCTAAATGGTGATTGCCGATATTGTAGGAATGGTAAGAATGGTTCGTAATTCCTATTCTCTTAAATTATTTTGAAAAGGGTAGCATTATGCTATAAAAAAATTAAAAACAAATAGAAATCAAAAGTAAACATAAGCTATTCTTTAGAGACGCGTGCTAGCTTCTTTAAAATTTAATTTTAATTTGTTAAAAACTTTTTGTTTTGGACTTGCCTAATTCTAAGCAGTTGTTGCCAGACATTTTTGTCATTGGAACAAAAGATGACATTTCTTTTCCAATTCCTTATATAAGCAACACTTTGCTTGGTTGTTTAACCGTTTTTAATAATTAAATAAATACAAATAAGTTGAGATAAAAATAAAAATTAGACATTAAAAGAAATCAGCAACTGACCATTGGAAAAAAAAAATAGTAGCTCAAGTAAGATGTGGTGTGTAGAACTCACCTATGAAGTGATTTAAGCAACTCTCTAGAGTAGAACATTAGAAATATGTTTGATTTATATGTTAAATGTTTATTATATATAATAAAAATTTATAATGAATTATATATATAAATAAATATTATGTTTAAATATATAAATTATATTTAAAATTTGTATAAATAAATATTTTAAAAAAAAATTATATAAACAGATATTTTTAAATATATAAATTATATTTTAAATTTATGAAAAATAATTTATATTGTAACATAATTATTTTTTATTTATTGAATATTTATTTTAAAAATTTAATTAATAAATATTTTTGATAAAAAAATTGAATTAAGTAAGAAATTAAAAAATTCCTTAAAAAAGGTTAGTCAAAAAAATCTTTTAAAAAATATTCTTACATAAGATAATTGTTCATTTTTAATATATAAGAATTGATGTATTAAATCATAAATGATAAATCATAACTAAATTTATTATTTAGAGTTGCTTCTAAACTTTTTTTATGCTTCTGTTTTCTTAAGAAGATTTATATTAATAAATGATTATTTGATTAAAAAGGTCCTTTATTTTAGTTTTTTTTAACAAATGATCTAATATTATAGATATTCATTTCAAAAAATAATATCTATATTTAATTTAAAATGTTTTAAATTAAAAAGTATTTTCTTACTATAATTAAAATTAAAAGTATTAACACATTTCATTTATTAAAATTAAAATATCTTCACTTATTTATCGTGCTTTATTTTAAATAATTATCCTCAACCGAAAAATAAAATATTTTCAAACAAATATTAATTTGTGTGTAACATTGTACTCATATATTTTTAAGGGACTTATTTACCGATAACATAAAAAATCAAAATTGTCAATCAATCGAAAAAAATATTTCAAGTATAAATTTTTACATAATTATAATTATATAACGCAATAATTTTACTATGATAGCTGATAAAATAATAATATGAAAATCATTTATACTTTTTTCATTCTAATAAAGAAATGTATTTAATTTATTAAAGATCAGCAGCAGGAAAAGAAACATTTCTTTAATTCTATATATTTATTTTTAAATTTTTTTAAAAAGAAAATAATTGTTAAATCTAAGTATAATAGTTTTTAATGTAAAAATGAAAATTTATCTATTTATAATAGGTATAGATGTAAATGTTTAAACACAAACAATATAAAGAAATTATAAAATAGATTAATGCAAAAATAATTTCATTAATATTTACAATAGGATTATTGGTTGGGTGAAGATATTTCGTACTTCTTTATTTATTTAAATATATTTAAAAATTATTAATATTTATTAAATTAATTTATATTTAATTTTCATATTTCAAGATTTTGTATTTATAAAACTAGTTAATTTTTAACATTATTTTTTATTAACTAAAAATTTGAAGATAAAATAATCTTAAATTCGTGAATAGGAAAAGCATAAAATAACTTTTATATGAAAGTGTAAATAAATTAAAATTTAATAAAAATAATGATAAAAATAATATTAAATATTATAAGGTTGAGTAAAAACATTTTATTTTAGGTTTCTTAACCATTATAACAGGTACTTAGAACAAAAATATAAAAAAGGTAAGGAAGAAGGGATAGAAGAATGGGTAGCGAGAAAAGTGGGTGAGAGAGGAAGTGAAGAGAGTTCTGGAAGCGGCGAATGGAGGAAGGAAGAAACATGTGGAGAGTAAAACGCAACCTGAAAATAAGCAAAGAGATTATCATTCTGTTCAATGATGTTTCCTAATGTAGTTTTCAATCTGAATCTTCTTCCACGCTCTCTTCGCTGCTCGCCTTCTCGCACTTCCTCTCTCTCTCTCGCCAAAACCCTTGGGCCTCGTGATGATTACCTGAAGGTTCTACAATCTTCCATTTCAATATTTCAATTTTTTTATTTGCAAGCTCCAGGATGTAAGCTTGATTTGAAACTTTTACATTCAGGGTTTTGAAACCTAGTTTTCATTGAAAAATTCGAGTGGGTGTTGCGTTGTGGTTTTCAAAATCCGTTTGTCTACTCTGTTGTTGCTAATGTTGACAAAGTAGCAATTGTTTGATGTGTGGTTATGAATATTCGCGTTACCTTTTTGTTTTTGGAATTTGGGTTCTATGGAATTATAAGCAAACAGTCTCAACAATTTGAGAATGACCAGAGTTGGGTTCCGAAGTTGGATTCTTTTGGTTTTGTCCAATAGTAATGGAGTTGAGAGGAACATTAACACAAAGATTCGTTTTATTTCAACTGGATCCTAACTTCTTGTCATTTTCCATTGTTTATGCTATGTCATTTCTTTTATGTGGCTTTAATATAGATAATGGGATTGTTGATGTCACATCAGTGAACTGGATGAATTCTGTTGTTTTAGTTTAAAATGAAGTGAGATTTAAAAAATTGATGTCAGTATAGTTATGTTTATGGTAGACAGTAGCAGCTATAACTTGTGGAATAGCCTGAAATGCTTTGACTTAGTTCATTTGGTGACCAAGGTTAGTGTCAATCTGCCACTTGCCATGGCACTCCAGCAGTGAAGGAAAAAGAATTAGTAACTATGGTTAAATAATTTAACTATAAATTTAAAGAGGGGGTTTAAGTTTTAGAAAGAGCGTTTTCTTCTGATTAGTTTCACGCTTATTCTATTTTCACGTACGTGCTAGTGCTAGTGCTTTAGTGCTTGAAGAATTTGAGAGAAAAGGAAATCACCTCAAGGTCTTGCATCCATCGTCTAGTGCATATCTAGGTAAGGGAGATGTGAGAAATCTCGTTTTGGGTGTGAAATTATATGATGGGTAGTGATATTGACTTTCAATCTTATCATTGTTGTATACTATGGGGTTTTTCCTTAATGCATTTATTTTGTCTCTTCGTCTTACATGTTCTTGATTACATGAATTGTTTGAATGTGATCAATTGTATGTTTTGAGTTGTAATTGGGTGATTTGAGGTCCTTGTGGGTTTCCATGGAAATCTTAAGAGAACTTGTTGTGATAATTGTGTAAAGATATTGGTTGTATGTGTAAATTGAGCAATATGGAATATTTATTGTATGCTATAGAACACGTTTATTGAATTGGATTGTGAATTTTGGTGATTTGGTGCATGACTCATAAATTGCGTTTTTCTAATGTGTTGGCTCTGATGCGGTGTCAGGCACCATTTTAGGCGTGCGAAGTGTTGCTGAGGTCGAGAGTAAAAGACAACTCTCCGAGTCTCTCATGTTAGGCATGGGATGATTATCGTCGGGTGTGAAATGACTCTCATTGGGCGCAAAAGCTCTAGGGGGTTGTTGTGGCGCTTCCATCGAGTGTAGATGCTACAAGGGCTCTCTGTTGTGTTTTTGTTGGACGTGAGTTTGGTCACGTTGGGCATGGTCTAGATAGAGACCAACGTTGTCCTTTGGAGGTATTGTGCTAGGTGTAGGACATGTGTTGTCGGGTGCCATTTCGTTTGCGAATGTTGTGTGATGTTCCCTGGATTGCATGATATTTTTCTTTTGTTATGAAGTTTAGTTGTACACGAACCTATATACGGGTGTATACAAGTGATTGATGAAGAATATGATATAATGAGATTTGTTATATGTGAATTATGAGATCATGTGAAGTTTTATGCATATAGTCTATTTGACACGTATCATATGTATAAAAGTATTTTTTTAAGGGTACAATATGAAATACATCGTTAGGGAAGATTTTTTTGTGTAAAAGTTTAGAGATCAGTCCTTGGGGATAGCTCAATTTGGAAAGTCCTAGTTTTTCCCTTGTATGCATGGGCTGTATCTTACGTGGCTAGTTATTTTGCTCAGACCTTAATAGTATGCCCTCCTAGTGAGGGTGTGACCCGACATATACTCCTAGACTACTTTACGTGTATAATTAGCAATAATGCACAAGTGATGTTTTTACTGGCATCACATGTATAATAATATATAGTCCGTGTTCATGGCATAATGTGTTATAATGTATCTATTATTATTATTTGTAATGCTATGATTGAACAATTGTGATGATAATGTTTATTTGTGTATACTATATCTTGTATGTTTTGGTTGTATTTGGTTATGTATCGTGAACCTTAGTGAGATGCTTTTTTACTTCTTTTGTCTTTGTTATTGCTCTTATGTTGATTCTACATGTGATGATTAACATGATGCTGGAGATGTCGGTGATGAGGCTTAGGCTTCATGTTGGATTACTCTAATAGGACATATGACATCGGGATGTAATTATGATTTTGTTTCTATTGGTTCATTTGGAAAACATCAATTTCTAGTTTCTTTGTAAATCTTTTAGTTATGTTATCTTATTTGTTTAAGATATAATGTGAACTTTTCTATTTGTATGGATTTTGAATTTATTTATTTCATGAGGTATTTCAATTTTATATTTTGTATGTGTTATGACATATGAGATAGAGGGTGTAACAAATAATAATAATAAAATAACTTTTTAAGCCCTTCTCATTTCTTTTTCTTCTTTGAGATTATGTGTATTTTTCTTAATATATTATTAAAATACAGTTAGAGATTAGATTTGGCATTGTTATATATATATATATTTTTTTTTATTTAGCGCATGTTTTATTTTATTAGTGTTTCCTTTAGCTTTTTCTCTTGATACTAGTTCATGTTAATGTCGTGCTTTTAACTTTTTTTTGCAGAATCTTTAGTAATGAGGTATTATGCAGAAAAATAGTCTCAATGGGGTTGGGTTTCCAGGGAAAGAATAAAAGACATGGCTCTTGATTTTTGTAAAACATTGGCTGCAGAAGTTCAAAGATAGAAGATTGATCTATTGACGTACAAAATACAAATTAAGCACTCACAATTTGTTGCTGCAATATCTGGTATTATCTTGGATCCTAAAGTGATTCAAGAGTGCAAAAGAAAAGTTGGAAAAAGTTGTTGGAAATTAATGAGGGATCGTATCAAAGATCAAGTATTGTGGAAAACATAGGAAAAGAGTATTTAATAAAGGGGATAAAGAATGACAATGCATGATGGATGGGATTAGTACAACATGCAAGAGGGTGAGTAGTTCACAGAGGGCATCTGCCAACTATATTATCTATGAACATGTGACTAAAGAAAAAACATCATCAAACTCATAGGGAAATGAATAAAACACAACTTTTCCTTCCTATAGTATGTTGAAGTTGTTCGTTTCTTCTCTTATTTTTGTTTTGTTGAATTTGGAGTTATATTATCTTGTGTTGTCAAAGAATAATGATATTCTTAAAAACAAAAGCGCGATGGATTTCATGTTCTCTCTTTTGATTTTGCATTAATTAAATTAAGTATACCTAAAAAAATGTTTAACTAATTTATGTTGTAGACTAGTTTTAGGTATTTTATTTATAGAAGGTTCATTTGTAATATTAGATGACTCATAGTATAAACCAGTCTTCGTAAATGTTTATTATATTGTGTGGGGAAAAAAGTTGACTCATTTGATTGAATTTTCACTTTTAACAATCTTACAACTTAGATTCAAATCTAAAAGTTCTTTGTTTTTATAGAAATGTTTGTTGAAATATAATTTTAAATAATTTGTTGATTAATCACATAACATGACTGTCTATAATACATGCTGAAGATATGCAGAAGAATATCATTAATAACACAATTAATTGGGAGATAAAATTTATACCCTAATTACATTGGTTAGACATTTTTTTTTTCTACTTTTCTTTCTCTTATTGGTACACTCTACATATATAAAGACATGCATTTGTAAACACAATAAAGTAAATAACACTGTTCTTTTAAATAGATGTATATGGAGAATTTCACAGACTTAATTTTATCTGTCTTCATCTTTGCTCCATTCAAAGTATGCATAATTTGAGATTTGTTTTATTTCAAGATACCTTAGTGAAGGAAACATCAAGTGTAAACTTATTAAGTCAACTTTCAAATGCTTTAGGTACTTGAGAATTAGGATGTTCACTTCCGGATATTCCTTGATGTACACACGATTTAAACTTTTGAGTTTTCCTCCTGTTATCTTTAGCACTTTAGTTGGATTGCTAGATTTAAGATAATGTGAAACCACAGTTCGCAAAAAGTCTGAAATATTTTCTCCGGGAAAGCCTTCAAGATGCAATTTTTCAATCTTTGGAAGGAAACTAATATAAGGAACACTATACCTCACGTCAAACACACTCCATGATATTTTGAGATGTTTAAGTTCTAACAACTCTTCCAAGCTTTCAAATTCCCCATCATAGATCACAGCTCCTCTTTTTATATATATGCTGAGTCGCACTAGTTTCTTCAAATTTGCAAGATCTGATATTTTATAGGGACTCATGCTAGAACTACCTTTTACAAAGCCCTTGAGTACTTTAAGATTAGTTAGCTTTTCAATCCCCTTTGACATTCTCTCCAACAAGGGGCACTCAAACAAGTCCAAATGTTTGAGATTTCTCAATGATGAAATATCATTAGGTAGTGTTTCTAGATTGTGACATGCCTTGAGATCTAGAGTTTCTAGGCTCTCAAGTTGAAAAATGGAGGGTGGCAACTTTGATATTCCTGATATCCCACGAAAGCTAATATACCTCAAATACTTTTGACCCTTCAATTGTTTCAGAAACTTTTCACTCATAACTTCGTTATAATGTGAAGCAGAGTCTTGCAACCAACGACCTAGTTGAAGCACCTCCAAATGCTTCATTTTTGTTATCCATTGGGGTTCAAAATTAAGATAACTAGCACTCACATTGAAAACAACTCTCCAATGGTTAGACTTAAAATCAAATCCGTCACTTAGTTTAACCCTTTGTTGGTCAAGTGCTAAAGAAGTGCTAAAGTTGAATACAACAAATCATGACGATGAGATGAGCTTATTATTTTTCCTTTACACCATTTTGTAACAATGACCTCTTCAACATATGATAGGCCCAAGGATTAATTTTAAATTTATTCACAACAGGATTTTTACCCCGACGATGTGGTACAATTAGCTTACTATTCAAAAGCTCATTCAACACATTCATACCATGCTCCTCTCCATTGTTGCTTTCCACTTCATTCCACCAGAGAATTATATTACTTTTCTTTATAACAGCATTATCAGGGAAAAGTAAGAGAGACAATAAGCAACGTTTAGGATAATCAAGAACGTTGTTATAATTAACCTTAAGCATTTCCAAGTCCTGAGGTGTTGGGCTTGAAGAGAGTGAACCTTTTACTTCATGAAATGTTTCTCTTGTTGCTAATGATTGAGCAGCTTCTATGTTACTAGTTTGGATAGCACCAGCTGGCAACAACTTTTGTATTGAAACATTTATTCTCTCGCAAATCCCTTCCTTCTCTTTGATCAGATCACGTATGTTGGAGTTGCGAAGATAGCCTTCCACAACTGTTAACGTGTCAAGGAGCTCGTCTTCATTTCTCTTCACCATGGAAAACAAGTCCTTTATGCTATTTAGCACAGACTTCAAATCCTTCAATTTTTCGTGTTCTTCTTCAGTCATCACCAACTGTCGTTCTGTGCTCACCAGCCGCTTCAACAATGTTGGCACTGCTTTTCATGGGATTTGTTCGAATAGACATTCTTTTTCTTCAAGGACAATGGTGTGAGATATTCAGACTCTATCAGATACTGATGAGAGAAACAATTTATTTTCGCAACAACAAATTGTGGGGTAGGACTCTGAGAAATTGATGAATGAAAACAATATATTTTCAGGGTAAGATTGACAGCCACAATGCTGAGAGATTTTGTGACTTTATAAAAAATTGATGAAAGAACCAAATTAAAATATATATCACTTAAATAGATTATAATATATGGCATCGAATCACACATACTCATCATTAATTGCATGTTTACAATTAAAGTCGAAAATTCTTGATTTCTTACTTGTGTATGATAAAATTTAATTAGAACTTATAAATGAAATTATGATATTTTAGCATCAGAATTTGTTTATAAACTTAAAATTTTCAAAATATATGATTTGGTTTATATAAAACAATTAAAATTTATTAACTTTATGTATAACAAAAGAATGGTGCTACAGGTAGTTTTTTAGTCTCAAGAAAAGAAAATTAACAAGGTTTATAATTTAAAAATATATAACATTTAAAATTTTAATTGCTTTTTTATGTTATGCACTATATATGTTTGTAATTTAATGAGCTAAACATAGGGGAAAAAATAAAACAAAAAAGAATTTAGTAAACTGGAAAAACAAAAATCATCGAGGGAGACAGTAATGAAGAACATTCTATACTTGGGAAATTCATGAAAGAATGGTATTTTTCCTTTGGTTTAACTTTGGCAAGGAATTATTCCTATAGAAAATAAGAGCAAATAATCCAAATTTTGTTTTTAAGGGAACACTTGCAACATCCCTTAACTTAGTACACTGTTTTTAGCACCGGTTCCTTTAATTCAGTACTAGATTTCAAACCGTGAGTTGCTAGGGTAAAGAAATGTATATACTTTATTTTAAAGAGATTAAAATCATATGAAATTATTATATTTAATAAATGTTAAAAATTGAAATAGTAAATATATAATAATTATATACAAGATACATATATGTGTTTGTAAAAAACTAGGAGAAAATTATTAAGACATTGAATTTTGTTATAACTTCAGTTTTTTGGGTGTACTGTGTCATTAAAGAAGAAATGTATTATATTTTTGTTTTAGATTTACTCTAATTTTGAAATCAATTGATATATTGAAGGATAATTGAAATTATAAATAAAATAATAAAGAAGTTTATAAATAAAAAATAAACAATAAATATATAACGCTAAAAACAATGTCCTAAAAATTAATTAATAGTTAGAAAATAGATATATTAATTCTCACTTTACAATTGTGCAATTTTCTTTGTAGAGCAATTATAGATAATTTAATTAAAAAAATAAAAAATTACATAATTTCTATAATATAAGATTCTTCTATACATTCATTAAATATATTCAATTCAAACTTTATTATAAATTTTGTGTATGAAATATGTTGATATTTTCCAAATTAACATGTAAAGTAAAAGTAAAAAAAGAAAATCTAGAGAAGAAAAAATTGTAATAAAAAAAGTCATTGTCATCAACTTATCAACTTCCTTATAATCATTTTTCAAAAATTAAAATCATTTCACAAACTTATATGAGGAGGGTTCAAACGACACCGGTGCAACTTTAACTAAGTATTACATTGCTCAATAACTTTTATATTAAATGTGAATTTTATAAATCCAACCATTAAATTGAAAGTTATTTACTCTTAGATCATATATACAAAATTTTATATTAATCCAAGATGATTTGATAATTTATTATTATACAAAAAAATTGGCGTAATATATACATTTAAAAATATAATAAAATATAAACACTTTGATTACATTCAAGTTGTTGTTCAATTTTAACAAAAATTGATGTAAACATACAAAGTGATATGAAGTTATAATTTAATGGTTGGATTAAAAAAATTCACATTTAGTATAAAGTTATTAAGTAGTGTAATACTTAATAAAAGTTACACCAGTGTTGTTTGAACCCAATTCTCTCTCTCTCTCTCTCTCTCTATATATATATATATATATAATGATTAGCAATGAAAATATTGCTTAAACCAGTTATCACAAATATTATTTTTATAATAATTAAAATTTAATTAACTAAAAGTTTTAAATAAAAAGATACATATTTTAACTTTTTTAAGAGAAAAAAGACTTTGAAAAAAAAAGAGTGATGTAAGAAGAGAATAAAAGGAAAAAATAAAAAAAAATTGTGAAACATACATATTTTGACAAAATAAATAAGAAAAATAAGTTTGATAGGAATTTCATAAAATTTCACAAAAGAAAGATTCATATCGCAAAGAAAACAAAAAATTAAAGGTAGGTTATCAAATCTCAAATCATGTGAGAGAAAAAAATTTAAGAATAAAATGAGAAAAAAAAATTACCTTGTACTTGTGTGTCAACTCTCTCAATTTCTGGATTATCCTTATGTTTGTGCCAAAAATTACAATTGTAAAGAATAATGTTGTGAGATTTTGTGACTTCATGAAAACCTCATGAAAGAACTACAATATATATAACTGAAATAAATTATAAATTATTATGACATTGAATCACAACACTCATCATTTCATTAAACAAATCGACAAAAGTTTAAGGTCATTCTTTTCTTAACATGAAGTTTAATTTAACTTGGCATTTACTCAATGGATCTATGTTTACAAGTAAAGTTGAAAATTCTTTATTTCTTGCTTGAATGATAAAATTTAATTAGAACTTATAATTGAAATTATTGTATTTTAGTATCATATACAGTTTTTTTTTATAAACTTAAATTTATAAAACATATGATTTTGTTTATATTAAAACAATTATAAATTGATAAAATTTATGCATAACAAAAAATGGTGCCTCGGGTAATTTTTTTACTCTCAATAAAAGAAAATTAAAAAGGTTTATAATTTAAAAATATATAATCTACATTTAGAATAATAATTTTTTAATTTTATACAATATATATGTTTGTAATTTAATGAGCTAAAAATAGGAGGGAAATAACACAATAAAGAATTTATTAAACTGGAACATTGAAAATCATTAAGGGTGGCAATAATGAAGAACATTCTATGCTTGGGGAACTGATGAAAGAATGGTATCTTTCCTTTGGTTTAACTTTGGCAAGGAATTATTCCTACAGACAATAAGAGCAAAGAATCCAAAAACATGTTTGACATCATTCTTTTTCCCTTGAAGAGTTGCCACATACAATAGTCTATTATTCCTTTCAAGAATGGAATCCATTGCTTGATCGAGACCTAAAAGAATACCAATAATTTTCAAATGGAAAATGAATAAAAGAGTTGGGTTGACATTAGGATTTGAGATTGAGTGATATGATTCTCCAGAGAGGATGGAAACAACTCAGAACTTATTTTATCAGTTTCAGCTAAAGATCTTAAAAAAATTATATAAACTAGTTTGTTTTATCCGTGCAGAGCACGCAAATTTTATTTATTTATTTAATATACAATTTGTGAGTAAAAACTTGATTTTGTTTTAAATTAGGGAATTAATATCAACAATAGAAACTCCAATCAAGGGATATTTTTATTTCATTTACTCCAATATAATTGTTTTTATATTATAGTAGTTTGATATATTTAATCATATACAAAGCAATGTAGTCGAAATCGACATTTTCTGCATAATGGAGTTGAAACCCAAAATTTTAATAACTTGTAATGATACTATGATAAAGTTCCATGAAAGTTAAAAGGAATCAAATGCTCGATTAAAGCCAATGTAAATTGGATTGAATTAATTAAGTAATGAATGTTGAAAGTATTAATCCCGAATTTGAATTCCTTAAAGAAAACAATGCCGCATGTACGTTAATTGAATATGCAAATGATGTTCTATTTACAAATGTTTTTAAGGTATGACTATGATAGTAACTTAATTAGATGCAGAACTCATTAAGCCACAAATTTTGATAAGAATCTTTAAAAATTAACTTATATAAGTTCAGCATAGACAAATGTCATAAATTTTTATAATGGAGTTGACATAGGTAAAACTTAAATGATAATCATATCAATGCTTTTTACCTCTAAGTTGCATGTACTTTAAAATAGTTTGTTGTTCCTAACCTATTTTTGAATCAAGAGCAACCTTATTAAGAAAAAAATCAAAAGTTATTTATTCATATAGAAAAAAGCCAAGAACAAAAATGTTCGGTCTTCTCAAACACATATCTAACAGAGTTATATAGGTAGCAATTCATATTGACAAACAACCTTCTCAATCAAAATTAACAGATTTCTAATAGGATTAGTATTTTAAATTAGTGCAATCTCTTAATTCATATAGACTACCTTACATGCTACATATCTAAAAAAGCTATGTAGCCAATTATTTACATATAATTGGTGGTAGTATTTCCAAAAAAAACACATATTGGTTATACATCAGACAACTCAAAATATACAAAGTTCTTCCATAGAAACTCAAATAATAAAAATAATTAGATAAATCTTACTTTCAACATTTGCATCCCCGTTATGTATAGACAAGAAAGTAGAATAGGGGGGCAAAATTTGAAGTTCAATCAATTTTTCACATGAATATAAATGTAGGCATTTCATAGTCCACTAGAACAAATACATTCAATTTAAGACATAAATGTAATTTGCTTATACAACTCAACAACATACACTACTAGAAAAATAGTGTTCCATGTCACTATATTTACATCGGTTCCTTAAAAACCGATGTAAAATAAATATGCAGTAACAATTTTGTAAATAACTTGAATATATAAAAATATTTACATCGGTTATTATAGAAAATGATGTAAATATAAACAATTTTACATCGGTTATTATTCTACATCCGTTTTCATGTTATTCTACATCCGTTTTCATGTTGACCGATGTAGAAGGGGTTTAGAAATTCATCCCCCGCGCGCGACCACTCAATGCTCACCCTCTGAAATACTCAAACGCACTCTGGAACGCTCCCTCTCGCACACTGTTAAACGCTCCTTCTCACACACTCTGGAACACTCACTCTCCCACACTCTGAGACCCAAACCCTCTCAACACTCTCAAACCTAAAACACTCTCTACATTCTAGGCTCGTTCATCTTCAACAACCCTCCAAGGAAGCATTGAAGCCTTATTCGACGAACGACAACGTAGTGAAGCCATTTTAGGTGCGTATCTTCATTTTTTGTTTTGCTTGTTTTTGCCTCTCTCATCTTGTACAAACGCGGGTGCTAATGTTTTAGGGTGTGGAGGCACTCCCGGAGGAGGTTTCCGGAAATGCAGTCGTCCTATTGTGTGAGTCCGTTGCGAAGGTATTTGTTTCATTTTTGAAGCAAGTGTGTTTGGTTTAAAAAATTGAGAGGTTTGGGTTTTTCTCCCTCTTTTGGTTATGGGTGGGGCGGGGGTGCGTATTTATATGAAAGGTTTGTAGGCATGATTTTTGGTTGAAAAGGTGAAAGCGAATGGTTCGAATGCTCATTGCGCATTCTATTTCAAGTGGCTTAATTTGAGTGCAACTCGTTCGAATTGGAATTTTGTATGTGTTTCATCAGATTCTTCTACATTTTGTTGGTGAGAGGGGTTGTGAAAAGTGATAGTTAGGGAATGGGAAATAATTATTGGTGTTGGTGTAGGTTTTAGCTTGAATTATCTGGTGGGATGCATGCGATTGTGTCATTTGTGTGTTAAAAGAAACTGAAATGAAAAGCAATGTGATGGGTGTTCTGCATTCTTGGCAATGTATGAAATGTTATGTGCTTATGAGTGGGTGGATCGGCCAATGCACTCTAATGGCCATTGCTAATCAGTTAATGAACTTCCGAGGATCAGAGTGTTCATTTTTTTTTTTTCTGTTCATAGGTTTCTAACTTGTGTAAGAAGTTGTTGATTTGAATTGAACATTAGGTTCATTGTAAGGCTAAATATTTGACATTGAGGACTGCAGATGAAACAACTTAAACATTTCAAAAACCAGCTTGATTGTATATGTTGGTTAACTAGATAGATATTAGTATATTCATAAGGCCCTGCTGGGAGACTTGAAATTATACAGTTCTATACTCTAATATGCAAAATTATAAATATAGTACTTGTTTAATGAATTTGTCATTGAAATTGGTTTTCTATTTTAACGGGTTGGTATGGTGCATTTTGTAAAGGAATTGCAAGATGCCAATATGAAATCCCCTTTCGTATAGTTAGGCAATGGATATGCACTTGAAGGGGACTTTTATTTTGATTAAAATTGAAAATGTTTCATCTTTGTTGGCTCAGTGATGTACGCCTACAAGCTGCTAGTGTGTATAAATCTTTTTTATTAATTTTGTAAAGGTCCATAAATCTGGAATTATATTGTATTTCATCATCTTAATGTGGTCTTTGGTCAGGCATATAATATTATTAGATCTTGAGTAGATGTTGAATACAGATAATAGTATTATTTAACATAGAGGAGTACTATTCTCAGACTATTTCAGAGATTTATGGTAGTTGGTGCTGTGGCAATTAAAAGTATCTTCTCAACCCCAAGTTTTTGATAATGACTAGCTTCGTTCAAAGTGTGCCCCTCTCCCGATTAATAGGAATCTTCTTTTGGCCCGTCTACTATCTTCATTATCCTTCCTGAATAACTGTCAACCACCT